GTTGCCCTACTCCAGAGATAAGTTGATCGTATATTGGCCACGGGGAATCCCTTTAGACCAATACGAGCCAAACGACTCAACAAAATTATCTCTGAGTGCCTGCTGGTTCTGAAGGAGAAATCCTTACATTAGGCACGCGACAGGAGTGATATGTGAGCCAAACGACTCAACGAATTTATTATACTACAAAACATTTTTGGGCTATCCTCCGAATAACGGGCAGGAAAGATGGCAAAATTCCTTTCTCTGAGTGCTTCGATGTCCCTTTAAGAACTAGATATTCCATTTTCTGTTTACCCAACTTCGTCTGCCTTACAGTCTTTTAAAAAGGGCTGAAATTACATTCTGTACTTATATATGTGTAGCAATACACAATTTCGTCCTTTTTAGGACGAAATTTTTTGTCATTTGGAGCCCTACTCTGGCTTTTGCCAGGGGCCGCAATATAGGCAGGCCATATTATGGCCAAATGTCTGAACGCGGTTTCTGGGACCTCTCCACGGCGATCCTCATCCGCATGGTGGCACTTTGTGTCATCGGGTGTTTATCGCTTGTGTGATGTCCTAGTGGGGTAGAAATTCATTCATTCATTCATTCTGTACTTCATCTTATAATTCCCACTCTATGAATGCAACGTCAATTCAACCACAGCACAAACGTTTACAAGTTAAGACTTACACTAGATGTTTTTACATACGTCTGGTCATTCTTTGACAAACCAAAATCAGCAATTTTGGCCACAAGCTTATCACCGAGCAAAACATTCCTGGCAGCAACATCACGATGGATAATCTGTAAGATTGGCAGCAAAGTACAATCAGGCAGCAAAGTACAATCACTACTGAAGATGTAATAAATGTTCAACATAGTTTTCAACATTTAATTATAATTGCATCACGTGTTTCATGATATGGTTCCGTCTCGAGTGCTAGAGGTTCCAGGTTCACTTCCCTGTACGAGCTAGGATTTTTTCACGTGGACTTGGACTTCTAGTAATCCACTCTGGTCTGAAGAGCCTGTGCCTTGTGCTGAGCTTCTTCGGACTCAGACTTGAGTTAGAAGAAGAACGGAGCACTTATGGGTTACTACCCGTATGCCATGATGTTGATCAGTTGTTCAAACCCCAAACCTAGCGATATGGTTTGCCCTGTTTTGGCAGAACGGCTGCCTGCCGTGCGAGTTTATCGCTCAGTAAACGAACAAAAGCTTAAGTTACGACCAGCGGAGATCTTTGCTATTACTGCACTCATGAACCTGAGTACAACATTTTGGAAATTACAGGATGGACAAGTCGTGTCTTTTGGAGAATAGCTGCCTTAAATGTAATCTTATATCGTAAAAGTTTGGTAACATTGGCATGACATTGTCATACTCTATAAATATTCTACCAAAGATGTCTTAACATTATTGCCTGTAATTACCCAATGTTACGGTGTAGACAAGGAGGTGAAAAGAGGGGAAGGGGTTGAGCCTAGGGATTTATGGCCGTATGGCTAGTGCGCTTGCCATTGAGTGTGCAGGTTATAATTTTATTTTTGCCCCGACATTAAAAAAAATTTCCCCAGCTTTACCGAAGATTCGAAGCGGGGTCTCCCGAGTGACAACCCAGCGTTCTTAACCGTTCACACACACCTGCTCTTCAACTCTTGTCAAAATCGGTCCAAACACAGACATCTACACCAGCTCAATACTGCTCGGCAAAAACGGTTCCAGATGCATACCTTATGTGGGCACTGCAAGGCCCATATAGTGGCCACTGTCACAAAAAGCTTAGCAATATGAGCTTTATATACTACCCCCGTGTCAAGTCTTCATTCAAACTAACATTCAGTCGTTGCCAAATACAACATAGTGTAATTAAGCCTTGAAAAAAAAAAAAATAATCTGCCCACGATTCCAGACATTGCCCAGACGTCTTAACACATCTTAACCTTGTCTGGCGTCTCTTGCTTCAGGATGTGCTCCTACAATGGTGTCATGTGTTTTTCGTATACAATTAAACGGTTGATTCCGCTGCAGTTCAACAGGACGCATCCCTGATATCATAGATAATCCATGTGCATAAGGTGGAGATGGCATCTCCGTCCGCCAAATTTCGATAACATTCAGCAAAAACATTCTGAAGGGACTGCTTATCTGGTATTTAAACATCATTTTTCCTGTTAACGATTGTTTGTAGAGAATACAAAAGGGTTTAAAGTTGGACGAGCGGGCGGGAACTTTTGTTATCCTTCGACTTGCATGCCTTTCAGTGGATGTTTCCGTGAAAATTTTGCTCATTCAGCATCAAGGAGTGGCTGGTCAAACAGTAATAAAGCTGTTTGTGTGTGTGTGTGAGTGTGTGTGTGTGTGTGTGTACCTGAGTTTGATCCTCAGTAAGGGATGACCATTTTACGTCTGTCAGGTGCACAAAATAACAAAACAAGCGAGAGAAGGTTGTGGCGACTAGACTAGACTAGACATACTACCTTAAATCGTTAGGCTCACGACACCAACAAGCCCCCCCCCCCCCCCCCCCCCCCCCCCCCCCAACCCCCAACTTTTTTTTTCAACCTTGTCTTCATCATCATCACGTGCCTTGCCAATAGGCGTAGGCGCTCATGCATCTCCACAGATCACAATCCCTGGTTGCCTGAAAAAAGCTATCTTGATGTTATCCCTCCATTATCCTTTCAGCCCCATCCAGCATCATCTCTCTTGTTCTGCCTCTACTCCTCTTTCCACTGAACTTTCCAGTTGTCACGATGTCTTCCAATGCCTCTCTTCTCATTACATGGCCAAAGAACAGTGTCTGTCTAATTCTTATTGTTGCATATAGAAATCTACTGTCATTAGCTTCTTTCAAGCAATCGTTGTTAGTTACGCTGGACGTCCAAGGTTATCGTAACATTTCGTCTCAGAAACCCACATCTCTGTTGCTTCCAAATTCTTCTTTATTACCAGCCTTCTTACACTGTTATAGCAACAGTGGTCCAGAAATCCCATACTCTAACTGTGGAATACTTTTCTTAATTCCAACGGATTTTGCAAATTACATTGCCCATCGAAGCTATAGGCTGCGATACCTCTGCCTCCATGTATCACAATCTTTGGTATCGACGAAATGTTCTTATGAGTCGGCACAGTCCGACAAAATTATTAAATTATGTTGGTCACGTTAAAAGCGCCATCCATA